GTTTCTCGTCTCTTCATCCTCATCACATTCTTCTCCTTCAGCTTCATTGTTTTCTTGTGTGTTTCCTGCATCAGAAAAACAATCACTATCATTCTCCTCAACTTTATTATTATCACAGTTACCACCTTCACTATCCTCACCATGATCGGCATCTTCATCCGCACCACCTTCATCTCCCTCACGACCATCATCTTCATCATTACCATCACCATCACCATCATCATCATCATCATCATCCTCACCACCTGCACTTTCATTGTTTGCCTCCAAAATTCGTACGCCGCAGCCTTCGACCTTCCAGGTTTTATCATGGACTATAAACACAAAAGCAAGTTCGCTGAAAGTGGTTTCCTCGGAGCCAGGACAATCTTGATTTAGAGAGAAAGAATCCTCAAATATATACAGATGTTCTTTATATCCACATGGAGCTGGCCTATATATATCTAGCATATATAGAGATGGCTTATATATATCTGGCATATATAGAGCTGGCCTATATAGAGGTGGCATATGGAGTTGGATTGATCCACCTCCGACTGTGAGGCCATTCTGTTCACCCCTGACGGAATAAGATATGCTCGTCAATGAATTCTCGCCCTCTTCATCTTTGTTATGAATATATACCTTTGACAACAAGATACAAGCTTTGAATCTAAAGGATAAAGGAATAGGTATTGGAGTCACATTAATCGTTAAGGAATCTGAACTGGCTCGGTGAGTAAAATGTGCAGGTACTTTTTCACCAGGTAGGACCGCATATTTGCAAGTTGATGTCTGGATGAGCTTTCTCGCTTTTTGTTCCAGGTTGAAGCAATTAACAAATTTTAAGCAAATCTTTGAATTTTGAAAAGAAGACGAGTCTATCCTCTTCAAAGATTCACAACCTTGTGCATCTAAAGATAGAAGGGAATCTGGAAGCGGTGGAAGTGCTACGAGCTCTCTGCATTCTTTGACATCAAGCTTAATTAGTCTCCAGAGACGTCTGATGCAATCTGGAATAGTCTTGATACCATTACTGCAGCGGAGACGTAATGATATAGGAGATGTAAGGGCCTTCTTGGGTAGACATATCGACAAAATGTAGTCAACTTCGAAGTCCGATCGTAGTCTCCAACTGCACTTAAAGTCAGGGCCCCACTCGATTATTGCTTCAAATACATCATCATACATATATATTTGTTCATCATCTTTATCTTTATGATGATCAGCATGATTTCTCAGAGCAAGAAACTCAAGATTCTCCAATTTAGAAATGTTTGGCGATATAGTTTTCAGCTTCTCGCATCCACACATAATTAGTTTACGGAGACGAAAAAAGTTCTCAATCCATGGAGGAACTTCCTTTATCCCTGTATAGCATAGCACCAACTCTCCGATGCTGTCAGGAACATTTGGGAAGTCTTTGATTTTTGTACACCATGATATATCCAATCGATAAAGCTTAGCGGCATTGCCAATAGAGTTTGGGAGCCCTAACAAACTTATGCATTTATGGAGATATAATTCCTCTAGACTCGTTGCTTCTGAGAGATCTGGAAGCTTTTTCAGATTCCAAGAGGAACTTAAATCCAGAACCTTCAGGCATGGGAGAGGCTAAACAAAAAAAAAGTTTTAGATAAATGACTAATTGCACAATACAATACAAAAAAAGAAAAAGAAGGTGAGTATTTTTACTTTAATTCCCTCCCAAAGCATCTCGAATTGGCTACGTCGCATGACTAGTTCAACAAGAAACTTGCCAGAGAACTTGGAAGGCCAAACTCTCAATGGACACAATTCCCAATGTAGCAATATGAGTTTGTTGGGAAGACAGTCGAGGCCCTCGGGTGTGCGTATGGTATGAGAGTCGAAGCGGAGAAACTGGAGATTGTTCATCCCTTGAAAAGCGCTTTTATTTATTTGGATTTTATCGCTAGTACACCTTCTACTCAACCGTATGCCTAGAACATTTCCAGTAACCTAGAATAAATTTTGAGGAAATAACAAAAACATCTCAGCTTAAAAAGCAGGGAAATAGAACAATGTAGATGTAAAATAGAAATGAAAAAACTTACAGTATTTTCATCGAGCACATCAGAAATCTCCTTGGTGTCCTTCAAGAAATGTGGTTTTCCAGGATTCTCCATCAATTGTTTCTTGACAATTTCTATACCCATTTGTTCCAGTAATCTATGCATTTTTACAAATCCGTCTTCTATAAATATAAGAGATTTTTGATCTAAGACTTCAAGCCCATGGTTGACTTCCAAACTACTGTTTTCAAAATACCATTTGAAGCCATCAACCGTGAAACCAGCAAAGAAATATGCTACATGAAGAAAAAGAGTTCTTTCATTATCTCTCAAGGCATCATAGCTGAACCTTAGAGTTGATTCAATTTCTCTGTCAAGGGTAGACCTGAGCCATGGTAGTGCTTGTATCCACTCTTCCCTGGACATTCCTCGTAGATAAGATCCCATTTTTTTTTTTTTTTGTCACTGAACTTATATTAAAAGCCAAAAGGCTAAACGAGTACAAGTAGAACTGATAAGATGATAACAACCGGAGCAGCTAATCTCGACGGTAGGATGAACAAAGGCAGTACAAAACGACATAAGATAGACATGTTAAAGGAAGAGACTTGCTCAAAGAGAAGGAACCCGTAGAGATGATTCTTCACTTGTTTTCCTAAAACGCTTGAAAAAACAAGCTTGAGATTGTCGGAATCGACGTTGATAAACCCAAACATGAGAGTTTGGAAAGGGGCTACGGGAGAGTCCTTCTCAACCGAAGTAGTATCAAAAGGCCTTGAAAGCCTGGATTTATCAATGAAAAGCAGATGAACAGCTCTAACATCCACAATACTTACCCAAGAGACTAGGTGAATCTCCAACTCTAGCTTCACTATCGAAGCGCTTAGGACAATGGAGTTTGGTGACGAAGCATACGGTTTGATCGGGTCAGAAGCTTGGACCTTGACATTACCGTGTCTAGGCCAACTTATAACCGGAAGAAACTTGAGCAAACTGTCAATGAACTCGTTTCTGTTGAGCATGTGTGAGTAAGAATCGGATAAGTCGCGTAGTTGACTCTGTGAAGAACCATCGATGCTTGAGACGGCGTATTGTGATGGAAGCGCAACGGTGATATAGCTTGTAAATCTGGCGAGTCCACACTCTTGCACAATAAGGTCAGCGACGAGGAGATTGAGACGGGCACAAATCCGGCTTTGTGAAGAACCGTCGATGCTTGAGACGACATAATGTGATAGGGACGCTGTGGTGAAATAGTCATGAAAAAATCCAGCGAAACAACACTCTTGCACAATAGATCCGGTGGTCACTAAGAGAAGAAGGTTTAAACGATGTAGTTTTGCTCCATAGAAACCTTGCCGAGAAGGGGCTGCCTCGATGTTGAGTGTATCAGTAACGAAAAGACCGAGGCAGAAAGCGAGGGTTGGAAAGAGGTGGTGACTGGTGGTGACACGGCCCGGCGAGGAAGAATGGCGAGACAGGGGAGTTACAGGTTGAGGCGGAGTTGAGGAGAAGATGCTGGAGGAGAAGCGGGTGTGAAGCGTACGTCTGAGAGCGGCTCTTTCCGGCGAGTAACAGAGACGACTCAGAAGCGGCTGAGACAGTGCGAAGCTTGGAGGTGAGGCGGGAGTGAAGAGGTTAACAGATCCGGTAAAATTACCTTCAGGTTGAACAGATTTTGTTCTTTCATTCACTCTAGATGGAGGAGCGACGACGGTGAGAGTTGTAGGAGGGGCCAAGACGACGAGATTAGGTCCAATGGTGACGACGAGAAGAGATCCGACGATGGGGGAGCGGGAAGGAGGAGTGGCGATGGCGTAGTATGCGAGGATGACGAAGAGAGTGGCGGCGAACAGAGTGGAAGAATGAGGGACAGATTGAGCGGTGAGGAGGAGGCAGGCGAGGTAGGTGAGCACGTCACCTCGCCGTCGTCTCTGCGGTGAAGCCATTGAAGCTGACGCGAAGAAGCTTGGAACTTGAAACAAAAGATGACTGGAGAACGATGAAGAAATAAAGAAAAGAGAGCAGAGTCGGAGACAGAGGCGACGCCGGTGAGCCACCGCTCTACCGGCGCCGGAAAACGGAGACCGATGCGGCGCCTCGATTATCGTGTCAGGGAGCGTAAGATATTAGGGCGAACTCAAAGATAGCTGGACGTAGATAAGATCCCATAACTCTCAGGCCTAGAGGAAGATCACCAGCAAGTCTACTAACTTCCCAAGCAAGACTTTCAAAACCATGAACTGGATACTTTTGACCGAAAGCATATTGGCAGAAGATCTGCAGAGATTCATAGCTAGTTGGATATGCCATCTCGTAGATATGATGGCTTGCAAGGCCAAGTGCCTTGAGAAGTTTTCTATCTTCGGTTGTAATGATAATCATACTTCCGGGACCAACCCAATCACGCTTCTTTGTCATTTCCTCTAGCTGCCACCAATTATCCACTTCATCAAGAACAACCAACACCTTTTTGTCACTCAGCATTTCTTTAGCCCGTCCTAAGTGACGAACCTCAACGTCCTCTTTGTTGAATATTTGACACAACAAGTTTTTCTGCAAACGCAACTTCAATTGATAGTCATTATCACAAGGCTTCTCATAACTTCCTCTGATATTCTCCAAAAAGGTGCTGAATTGAAAAGCAGGAGAGAGTTGGTTGTATAAAACTCTGGCCGTGGTCGTCTTACCAATCCCGCCAGGACCAAAAATCCCAATCACCTTAACTTCTTCTGATTGTAGATCAATTTCCATTTTATCTCCGTGACACGAGCTCCTATGCCAACAAAGTCATCAAAGTCTTTTGATGGTGTAAAACCCAACACAGCCATGACATCTGAGGTGACTTTGTTGATCATTTCAGCTTCATTGCCACTAACAAAAAGAACAGAGGATAATACATTAAAACAATCATGTACTACAACATAATATCCAAGTGGAAGTAAAAGTGAACGAACCAGTTGCTAGAGTTGTAACCAGCTATACCAGCGACATCTTCCAAAGCTTGCTTCCATGCTTTCTTTACCTCTTTTGTTTTCCCCACACAGGTTTTCTCAAATGCTTTTCCGAAATCTCCGGTCTGCTTCCTAACATCAGATGGATCCACTTCATGGAAAATGGTCATCACTGTTTGTTGATACTCTTCCCTGCACTTCATGATTTCCACTAACTCATCCAGACACCAGCTTGAAGAAGCATAGTTACGGGAGATCAAGACAACGGCAACCCTTGATTGTCTGATCGCTTCTACAAGCATGGGACCAACAGATTCACCTCGCTTGATCTCGTTATCAATGAATACAATTATTCCCTTGCTTTTGAACTCTTTCAGAACGTGACTAAGAAAGCTTTTGCGCACGTCTTCACCACGAAAGCTCAGGAAGACATGATACAACCAACTGCGAGCCAGAGATGAAGAAGACGAAACCATCATAGGTAACATTAAGAAAAATAGGATCAGTCTGAGGAAAGACACAAAAAGGTAAATTAGAGACGCCTAAATAGAAAAGATACACAGCAAGTCTCGACTACTTTTCTAGTGGAGAGGAAACTGTCACGTAATGCACTTTTTGATATAAAATTATTTGTGTTTAGTGGAAGTAGATACATAGCTAGGTCTTGACTTCTTTTCAAGTGTAGAGGAACAGTCTTTTTTATATATAAAAAAACTAGTGGGCAACCGCAGGAATGTAATAGTGATCTTGTGTGTTGGTTTACTTTGTTGTGGGGGTGGAAGACTTTGGTAAATTTGTCTCAAACTCTAGAACAATGAATACGTTGATTAGATCATGAATACAAAAATTTTAATCTACTTGATTATAGTAAAAGCATGTTGCAAAGCGGAGTGTGATATTGTTTTGATGGTATGCAATTGTAGCTCTGTTAATCTAAATCCCATGTAGTGAATTTTTATGCGCTTCCAGGATTGGTTTTCTTTTGTGGTACTTTGTTCTCAGAATCTGACCCATGTTCCCATCGAACAAAGGGTACGAAATAAATTCAATTATAGTTTCTTTCGATAAAAAGAAATCACTGTTCCTTCTTGCACAAGGCAAATCAGTGGAATCCCATGGTTGGCGAAGCATGTTGATTGGAAGAGACCTCATCATGAGCAACTCAGGCTGGGTCGTTGGTGATGGGAAAACGATTGATATTTGGAACGACCCCTGGCTCAGCTGCAAAGAACAACGAAGACCAATGGGACCTGCTCCGATGGCTCAACAAAATCTCAAAGTTGAAAGCCTCTTCATTCCAAACAAAACAGAGTGGAACCGTGAAGCAATCAACTCCCTACTACCGGTGGAAGAAGAAAAAATCCTTTTGATTAAACCAAGTTTCAGTGGAGCTCCGGATAAACTTATCTGGCTTGGAACAAACTCCGGTGAGTATAGCACGAAATCAGGCTACTGGACAGCCATGAAAGGCCGAGAGGTTGAAGCACCGGCTCACCAACTAGAAGTGTTCGATTGGAATAAAGATCTCTGGAGGCTCCACACTTCCCCAAAGATCAAGCTATTCCTTTGGAAGATATTGAACCAGGCTCTACCTGTTGGAGCGCAATTAGCTGCCCGGAATATTGGTGGAGCAATAAACTGCAAAAGATGCGGCAATGTGGAATCTATCAGTCATCTTCTGTTTCACTGTGAGTATGCGCAAAGGGTCTGGTCTCTAGCCCCTTTTACACACAGTCTGGAATCTAGAGGACTGGTAGATTTCGTCTCTTGTTGGCCGGCATTGAGTAGGCTCACCTGTCTCCCCCCCACCGGCATCGCCTCAGGTCCACTAGCACCATGGATCCTCTGGTCAATATGGACGTCGAGGAATAATCTCCTATTCAACAATAAAGCTCTTACACCGGTGGATACAATGTCTAGAGCGATCTCAGCGGCATGTGAATGGCTGGCGGTACAAAACCCCGAGGACTCTGCTTCTCGAGGACCTCCATTAAATCATGCACAACCCCCGTTGGATAGTGTTATTATTTTCTCTGATGCGGCATGGCACTCAGATCTTTTGATTGCAGGTCTTGGATGGAGCATTGATACCGGAAGCAATAAACGATCCTATATGGCCCACTGTCATTTCGTCAGCTCAGCACTGGTGGCAGAAGCTTTAGCCTTAAGAGAAGCACTCTCTTCATGCATCGACAAGGGGTTCCGTCGAGTGCACTTCAACTCCGATTCTCTCCAACTTATTCAAGCAATCAACTCAGGCTCTTACTACCCTGAAGTTTATGGTGTTATCTCTGATATTTTCAGTCTTTCTTTGGCGTTTGATTGTATTTCCTTTGCTTGGGTTCAACGGGGAAACAACAAGGAGGCTGATGCTTTGGCTAAGCAGGCCTTGTTGAACCGATCACTTGTAATGACCTCCTTGGACATTGGAGTTTAAGTATGAATGAATGAAATATGGTGTTACAAAAAAAAAAAAAAGAAATCACTGTATGAAATCCTTTTTTTTTCTCTATAGCTTTCCAATAAGTACAGTACCCATGTTCTCATCGAGCAAAGGGTACAAAATAAATTCAATCATATTTTCTTTGGATAAAAAGAAATCACTGTATGAAATCTTTGTTTTTTCTCTTTCTCTATAGCTTTCCAGTAAGTACTGAATTGTTGAATAATAACATCATTATGGCGTATAAATAGACCACATTGTCATACGTTAGATTTTGTGCGTAGAACGTTTCGAGCGAGTGAGGTTGAGCCACTTGATATTCTGAAGTTCACCATATTTCTTCGCCTTCAGTTTATTATTAAGCAGAAGCAGAAATGTCAGCGGGAGGTTTAGAATTCTGTTTAACAAAAATTTTACAATCTGTTTTTCTACGGAGCATTGGCCTTTGGGAGGTTTGAATATTTGTCCGTAAGGCGCACTTTTTTGCAAACATACTTAGCTTCCTTACACGAAGTGCATGTTATGGGAAGCATTGTGTAGTTGTAAGAGCTGAATAGGATCAGAGGTGGGGTGTTTGTTGAGAGTTCCAGTTGCAGCGACCATTTGTGTTCACATGAGGTCTGAGTTATAACATACGTTTCAATACAGTGGAAGATATTTAAGGGGAGCATTAGTTGCAAGTAAACAAAATTAGTAGCTTGGAACTGAAAATGGCTGTTTTGTGGTTTGAAATTCTCCCCTGTCAAATCCGGATACACCCCGTTCTTGCTTAACCACTCAGTCATATCTCAGCTTGGTCTGAAGATGGCAACGCTAGAATTATAGACACAAAGGATGATTCTAAAGCTTTCCATATCTCTCCATCTATTTTACATCTCACCGCTTCCTCCTTTATCTTCTTCTTCACTGGCTACAACTGAGTCAACAATAGGCTTTGTTCTCTTACAAAGGGAAGTCATAGTTTAACCATCTGAAGCCGTTTCACTGTTGGTAATATCACAGTTCTATAACCAATCGCCTCTATGACTTTAGCAGTTACTTCAGTGACCTTAACTCTTTATCTCCACCGTCTCTGCAGCCGTTTCCACCTCTTCAACTACCTTAACTAACTCTCAGATGTATCAACCCATGTTACAACAAAATCTCTCACCATTTCCATCTTTGTGGGTATCTGAAAAGCCCATGACAAATCCGAGACAACCATCTTTAAACACCCGTTCTTGCTAGTGACTTCCTCCTCAGAATCCAAGAAAAGAAGATAGACGATACAGAGAACAACTATTAGAAAGTTTCCAGAACAATTATTGATATACCTGTATTCTGTGGTAGTTTATACTCTGTTTTTAGCAGTGATGTGAGAGGTATGTTCATCAACAGCAAGTGGTGACTCACTCTACTACAGCGAGGACGTAGCATGATTTTTGAGCCTGCAACTAGTGCACAACCAGAAACTGCAGAATTATGAACAAGATTGTTCTGTTTCAGTGTTGCTGCACATATTGATTTGTCTCCTTGATCTCAGATTTTCCAATGGTAAAAGCATCTTCAGCTGGGTGATATGATGTTCCAAATAACTAAGGCACAAATAGAGATTTAAGCTCATCCAATCCGTTTAAGATTGTGTTTCCACTAGCTCTTTGTTATCATATAACATACCTTCTTTAATATTGTTGACGTTGCTGCACACGCGGATGTCTCATGTACGCATATCATGCGTTGACTTTGATTTACGACCACAACTCTTGTAAAATTGATTGTTGATGAAGTTTATGTTATCATCAT